GCCGCCGCCAGGCAAGCAGGCGGAGCGCAGCGCCAGGGGAGGGGGAGCGAGTGGCGAGCCGCCGTGGCTTGCCTGGCGGCGGCGGCGCCAAACGGCAGCTGCTTCGAGACGCTGACTCGAGTATAAGCCGAGGGGGGCATTTTTCAGCCCCAAAAATGGGCTGAAAAACTCGGCTTATACTCGAGTATATACGGTATATATTAATTTTGAACTAACAAAGCCCTTAGCCTGATTCAGGAAGGCTCTTTGTCCATTGACTCCTTTTCCAGGCCTAAAAATCTTTATACTTGCCACTTTTATTAATGCTGCACCCCTGGATTATCTTGATAATTGCAAAGGAAACAGGACTTTTTTAGTTTTTTTCTTGAAAACGTTTTGCTTCTCATCCAAGAAGCTTCTTCAGTTCTTGGATGAGAAGCAAAATGTTTTCAAGAAAAAGCTAAGAAAGCCCAGTTGCCTTTTGAAAAGCACCTTTGAACAACCATGATCTGGATGATTCAGACTCTCCACAGACATGCAAAGGAAACAGTAATGTGGAGCAAAAATGAGCATTTCTCACGGATTTCAGTGTACTATACTTAGGTTTCATTTCCAAAGCTTATATCTCAAAGGTGCTTTTTTTTTCCTTACAAAAATGGACTTTGTTTTTTTCTTGAAGACATTTCACTTCTCATCCAAGAAGCTTCATCAGTTCTGGCAGATGATGAAGTTTCTTGGATGAGAAACGAAACATCTTCAAAGAAAAAACAAAGAAAGTCCAGTTGCCTTTGGAAAGAAAGAAAAAAGGCAGCTTTGAGACAATCATGACTTGGATGACTGAAAATCTCCATAGACACATCCAATATTTATATATACACCTTTTCTGAATGAACAATAAACTAAATTTGAAGTGTCACTGCACACTTGCCAAAGGCCACATCTGCAAGACCACCTCCTACCAAATACCTCCCTTCGACCAGTCCGCTCCCACAGAGAGGGCCTCCTTAGGGTGCCGTCGGCCAGTCAATGCCGGCTGGCGACCCCCAGGGGGAGAACCTTCTCTGTGGCAGCTCCTGCCCTCTGGAATGATCTACCCCCCAACCTACGTACAACTACGGACCTGCACCTCTTCCGCCGAGCCTTGAAAACCCATCTATTCCATGCGGCCGGCCTGGCGTAGTTTTGATTGTGTTTTGGTAGGGGTTTTTATATGGGGTATTTTAGAGCAGGCTTTTTATTTAATATTTATTGTGATTTTTATTATTGCCTGTTCACCGCCCTGAGTCCCGTAAGGGAGATAGGGCGGTATATAAATTTAAATAAT